AGTGGGTATTAACGAGTTCAAACCCTGCCCGCGGGTAAGCATGGTACTTACGTACAGGCCCGTGAAAAGTTCCTTCTGGGTAAGTTAATTACTCTAGAACGTGAGAAGCTAGAAGACTGAAATTTTGAGGGGATGTTTCCTGACAGTTCTTGCGGCCAGTCTGAAATTCTTTGAGCTAGAAGCACCTGCCGAAAAAACCGACGCCGGTAGCGACAAGAACCTGCGGGGAACTCTGCAAAAAACGCATCTTCGCACGAGCAGCCCGTGCGTTGGCCATTTATTTGTTTAGGTAGAAGCATTTGCTGGATAAGCCGGTGCCGGTAGTAAAAAGAATTGCGGGGAACTATGCAAAAAACGCATCTTCGCACGGGCAGCCCGTGCGTTGGCCAATTATTAAATTCGGTATGAAAGAACCCTTTGAAGTTCGAGCAAATTTTTTTCAGTTTCTGTGTCCTTCGCATGAAATTTCTTCTGAAGCAAATTTGCACTGAGTGTACAGACTTGAAGAGCAGCAAATCCTTGGTTTATATTGCAAGAATTTTTTAAAAATATAATTAGTACCACAACGCATGAGCCGCACAATAGTATCATTTGTGTTCTGGAATTCGTATTCTATCTCGGCAACAACATAAGGTAAGAAATGGGGTAATTAGCACAACTCAGAGTTGTGAATCGAAACTCCGATGGCTGAATCGTGGCGCTAACAACAGCAGTGTGAAAGTGGCGGCGCCGGTCAGTACAAAGATACAACAAAAGAAGAAGCGATCGAAAACAGCGGATATATGACTCCATTCCTCTACCAGTTCGTCATGTTCTTCCTCGTTTTCCACACGTTCCATCTGTAAACCGCTTTTGAGCTTTAGGAAAGTCTGAAACAACATGACCTTTTCATAAAAAACTTTTCAGGAAAGTCTGATCAAAAAAAGCCCAATTCATTTCATTTTCAAAAGTTCCTAACCCTCCGTTGTTACCCACACACCAAAGGCATTCAGAAGTATCCAGTTCTACTCAAATGCAGAAAATTTCAGGCTGTTAGCTTTCCGATGAAAACCACTAGGATATCTTTCAAATTTCGTTATATATCAGTATATATCAGTACATTTGAGTAGAGTTATATCAGTACGTTTTAAATTCGGTACACTTCTCCTGTAACACTGTTCACAGGATTGAACCCAGGATGCAACGCAGCAGGCTTGCCGGAGCCGTCATGCGTTTTTGCACTAAATTTGCAGATTGCTAACAGCAGGAGTGGTTCCTGCGCTGCAGTTTAACACTTGGATGCAGTTTAACATTTGGACTCAAACTGGCTGTGTTTCACCTCTTCCCAGAAGTAGGGGGAAAGGACACAGGCTGGGATGAGGGTTTGCATTAGGCGGGCGCATAGACTTTTAGCGTTCATGATTATCAGTTATCTGCATAAAGGGCGGTCGTTTTTCCGGTGAATGGTCGTTCATTGAAAAAATGCAAATGTGGAGGAAGTAGGAAGAAGATTATGAAATCTGCAAAATGCACTCGCTTTTGAGCTGGCGATAAAACTGAGTATTATCATGCCTGCGTGATGGGAATTTTATCTCTAAGCTGAATTAAGACTGCGCATGAATATAGAATATCCGTCCAAATTTTCAGCTTTGCAGCTTTTCTGGTAAGCGAAATAGCCACTTGGCTACAAATATTTTTAAGAGCCTTAAGTCGTGACACAAGTGCAGTTCGAAACTCAGTTTAGGTGCAATATTTTCTATATGAACAACAAATATTCCGACAAAAATTCAGCTACTGTTTTCGGGATAGTTTTTGAGTTAGCACAGTCCCAACTGCGAACTTTGACGTGACTGTACGCGTGATGTAGGCATGCGCAGTAACTGAATTTGTAATCTTTAGCTCGTAAATGCGCAGAGAATATCCCTGCAAAGCTTCAGCTTTCTACATTGTCTGGTTCACGAAGCCATTTCCTGCCAAAGAAATTTGCATAGTTTCCCCGGTAGTCCACACGCGAGATTTAGACGCATATGATCGAAGATTTTAAAGACAGGCGGGTGACACATGGGATAGGAATATGATCTCAAAATTTCAGCCTCCTAGCCTACCTAGTTGCTGAGTTGAAAGGGGGTGACAAAGTTCACTCGCTTCCGAATACACTCACAAACACGATCACTTCTTGACAATGTGCGTTTCTGCTCACTGTAGCAGCGCTATGGCGCTGCTACGGTGGGCAAAAACGCATAAAAAGGTAAATGAAATAAAGTCAGGAATTAAACACAACCGAATGCATGGCTGTATCGGTAGTGCAACAAGCACTCCATAATTTAGAATGGAAAATATCAGCTGGCGGAATAACTTACGAGAACTGTGCTCAGCAAATCTTTGGAATCGTCGGCTCGTGCAAACCGTTGTTGCGTTTTCGGTGGCGGAGTACCAAACAAACGGCCGAGCACGTGGTAAGCGATAAAATTAAGCCAGTGTGGCGCCCTGCTAATGGAATATGCTTGTTTCTGGATTTTTAAATATCAGACAGCTTTCAAAATATTTTATGCAAAATATCATTCGAAAACAAAAAGCATTCAAGAAACGGAAACCTATATTTACGCTCGGCGCCGTGTCGCATGTTAAGCACAATGACCGAGAGGCAAACGCTGAGTCCCGAAATGGCCATTATGCCCATCAGATAGATTGCTGCAAAAAATCATTTGAAATGCACCTATTATGCCTTCACCAAAGTTCATTTGATAAGTAGATTTCAGTTTTTATGCGTTTTTGCTTATGTGCAAATGCAAAAACGCATATTGTGAAGACCCCGGTGTGTGTGTGTGTGTGTGTGTGTCCGAGTATTTCAAGCTCCTGTGTCGAGGTTTTGTCGACGCGTCCCCCGGCCAAGTGCCATTCCAGGACCGGTTGTCAATCTCCACGCACGTCTGGGCCCAGCGTACGACTACATGAAAGTTTTGGCGGGAAGAACGCTAACCCAGGAACCAGAAAAGTTGGGAGACTGAAATTTTCAGAAAATGCTCCCAGTTCACGTGCAATTTAAAATTTCAAACTCAACCCCCAGTTGCACGTGGTAGTCACGTACGGCCCCTTAAAAGTTTTTGGCGGAAAAATCGTTAACTCGAAAACCAGGATAGCCGGAAGGCTGGAATTTTAACAGAATGTCCCCTTTCAAGTATTGCGAGGTAGTTGTACAATTAGCTTTCTGAAATTCGAGGCATAGATGAATGTGGGAAGGGGGCGACGAGCGAGGGAGGGAGGGAGCGACGGGAGGTAAGAAGGGGAGTTTACGCTAGTTTTAGCCTTAGACTCGGACTTTTGAAGCACTAGTACCTGTGCCGTTGCGAAGGCGGGGAGGAGGTTGAAAGATGTATCCCCCTCGCCCCTCCCCGAATACGTTTGTGGTCCAAGGGCCAGTAGGTCACAAATTCTAGCTATTACGATTCCAGCCGTTCTTACTACAACACGAAATACTGCAAAAACATATGAGTGCACCGGCCCGCCTGGCGCGCCTCACCAGTGGTTTTTATGCGTTTTTGCCGTGCAGCGCTAGAGCGCTGCAACAGGCAGCAAAAACGCATATT